GCGGTAAAACAGTACTTTAAAGGTGATCAAAAGGATTAAAATCTCGATACGTAGGCGGATAGGCAACCAGTGAAGTTGTTGAAGGAGCGACGTAATATGAGTGTTTAGGTGCACAGAAGATCAATCGCGCACTGGCATTCATGACACGTTGGAGTTTTGCATGTGATGGAACTCCATAGAGGAGACTGTTGCAATAGTCTAAGCTACTGGTTATAAATGCATGAATCAGTTTCTCTGTACATTCACTAGTAAGGTATTTCCGTATGTGTCGGATATTATACAGATAAAAGAATTCACTACCACAAAACCTGAGATCAGGCCCAATTTTAGCGGTTCTCATACATTCTCTCTAACGGCTACCGCTAAAATTGGGCCTGATACAAACTCTCTCACGTTTGTGCTCGTTACTGCCAGATTTTGGCCGTAACGCTGATTGGCTGTTAGAACAATGCCACAAGATCTGATTGGCTGTCGGAAACGCCGGAATTTGAAAGTTTCATTCCTCGCGTGGTTGTTTTCGTGAATGATCGGGGTATCGGCGGACAGAAGGGTCATTTTGCTGTCTTTTTTCATTGTTTTATCGTCCAACTGGTAAAAATATGCCTTAATATGTGCCATGAAAAAGAAAATTCATGGTTGTTCATATCTTCTCAGGACTTTTTATTTACGGAATTATCGTAAAAGTTTGGTCCCTTAAGGTGTAACAGACTGGTTGTTTGCCAACAAACTTTTGTAAAAAAAAACCAGGAAAACTTAAAACCTGGTTCGTTTGAAAGTTTGCTTTTGTTTTCTGAACGGGGTACGGCAACAGAAAAATAGAAATTTCAATGTTTTAAATTTGACGAAAAATATCGCATCGCTGTTCTAAAATTAATAAAACTGGTAGAACATCGTGTCGCCTTCGCCTTTTCCAGGAAAACGTTTTTTTACCTTCTACGCCAACAGAAACAACGTTCGAGATCTCCCTTAACCTCGCAAGAAGTTAAATGTGATTGTGCTGACTGTTTTATTTTTAGCCGAAAAAATTAACAGATAAAAGCTTTTTTTGAAGTCAGCCAGTAGGCATTTTTCCCACGCGTGAAAAATTTGCATACTAGAAAAACAAGCAACGGAAGTAGCTTTGGTTGGCTGATTAGGCAAATGTCAATCAATCAAAAAAGTGGGCGGCAGACGTTTCGTAGAAGGTTTGTATCAGGCTCTCTTTTCGTTTTCCCTTGCCCGCCGGAATGTAATTTTCAAAGCGAAACGAAAATAGAGCCTAATCTCAGGTTACTGCCACGTCTTTGTTATATGCGTTGCCATATCTATGTGCGTGTCGAACCAGGAGCCCAGATTTTTTGCCGAGAACGGGAATTACATCAACGTCGCCAACCCTAATACTGCTAACAGACACGTTAGATAGCTGCTTGTTCGTGCCGATCACCAGAGACTCAGTCTTATCATCGTTCAACATCAACTTATCATTAATCATCCATGAACGAACATCAGCGATGCATTTCTCCATAGCATCTAGCGTCTCAGCTTCACACGTACTCTCTAATGGGCGAAACGACAAGTATAATTGAGTATCATCTGCGCACGAGTGCGCAGACGGCAGGTGAGATTTAATGACACTGAAAAGTTTGCTAGCATAAATAGTAAAAAGCAGTGGACCAAGGCATGGACCCCACATTCTAGGCCAAACTTTTTGGAAATAGCACCGTTAATTGTAACTTGGTGCGATCGACCTCTCAGATAGGATCGAAACCATTGAAGAGCTGGCCCACGTAGGCCGAGCAGTGACTGAAGTCTATGAATGAGAATGTGATGGTCCACAGTATCAAAGGCCGCGCTGAGGTCCAAAAGAACTAGGAGTGTCACATGACCCATAGCCATAATCATAAGAATATCATTCTTGACTTTCAGTGACGCCGGTATTAGGTAATTTATTCAACTTTGAAAGATTTGCCATGACATTTGCACGAGCATTTTGCCATTGGGGATGATTTCTTCATCTTTATCCCCAAGTGGAAAACTTCCTGTGCGAATGTGACGTCAAGTCTAAAAACCTTGAATAAATTATCAATTACAAGGGCTTTCAGTGCAGTTGAAAAATGGACGGTTAGAAGTACTGGACCTGGTGGCTTTATTTCTCCTGAAAACGGAAACCAGCGACACTAAAAACTGTTGAGAATCTTTCGTAGATAATATAATTTGCCTTGTTAAGATAGGTTTCGAAAAGAGAGGGACAAATACAAAGTAAGTTTGATAAATAGAAGTTATTTAATCTTGCCCCACATTCAGCAGAAAGTTGTTCTTGTTTTGCAAACTGTATTCGCTATAGGTTTCTGATTACTCAATTTCGTGCAACTGAAGTTTTGGGCAAGGCTACCCTTGCAGATAGGAGATAGTCCGTCGGCAGTTGTCCTCTATTTGTGCGTCAACTTTCACAAATGTGTTATCCTTACATTTTACGGTTTACTTTGACCAGCCATTTGCGCAGCGAGTTCTACGGTCACGATTGCCTTCAAACTTGCAGACATAAAACTAGAGAGCTCTGAGGCTTATTTGCCGAAGTGAGAGAAAAATCTGTCTTAGGGTTTTGAAATTATTGACCTTTTTTGTAAAAATGCGGTTTTAAACATCTGCCGATATCTCAAACGTTTTTACACCTGTAAGAAAATAAATAGCATATTCTTTACTAAGGATGCCAAAAATCATGGGAATTGGTTAAATCATTCCTGCTGAAAAACGCGATTCAAAAACATAACCAACACGCTTTTAAATAGGTTCGGGCCTCCTTAAAATAGAGCGATATACTTACAGTTCTAGGTTTCTACACTTTCCGCCATCTTGGATTCCAAGCTTATCGTCAAGTAAGACGTATTGAAATATTCTTTCATTATTTATAGGGGAGGTTTTAAAATACAGAATTTCCTGACATGCATGAGGGAATTTTCTTAAACAGCATGTGATCATGCCGGCTAGGACGTATTGCCCCGTTTTACGGCAAGCCATGCTTATTTTTAGGCTCCATGGCCTGAAATGACGCAAAATTAATGCCCTAAAAGTTAGAAGTCCAAACAAAGTCCTCGAAATTTTAGTTTCCAAGCCGTTAGTAGCCTAACCGGGGTTTACCGACCTTATTAAGATGATGATGAATCATTCTCAGCTTCGTTCAATAATTGTTATATAGTAAATTCTCAACATATTGTTTAGGAGTGTAGTTTGCACGGCATGCTTAATCCAATCCAATCCAATTCTATGTATTCACTGATCTTGTTCCCCACCATCAATTAATCCACCAAAACAATTTTTTGCTTTTTGTTTGTAGTCAGATGCCAGTTTCCTGAGCATAGAAATTCACCTGAGTGTTGTAAGTTTGCTTATGCTTTTATCTTTGTCATGAAAATTCGCCAGTATTTGCTAACTTTGAAGTAACTTTAAAGCCCATGGTGATTATAAAAATGTCAGTGCATAGGGGTGTATGTATAACTAGGGAGAACTGCATGTTGTTTCGTAGCCTGCGTAGCAGGCACCGGTTTTTTTAGGGAGAAAGGAGAAAAATTGCGCGTTCCCCTTACGCGGCCTGTGAAAATAAAAAACGATTACGGCGTCTATGCAGGCTAGCTGTTTTGTGTTTTTTGGTTTGACCGTAGTAATTGTATGTTTAATTTTTATACTTTAGCTATTTTATTATGCTTGCTTTTGGAATGGTCTGATATTCCCCCATGATAATGTTTAATTATGCTGTAGGCTCATCCAAAACTTGTTTCACCTTGCCTTATCCGGTTAACGTAACCTCTATTTAGTGGTCACCCTTGGGAAATAGCCAAGCGAACAGTTTAGGAGAGGTTTTCTTCAGTTTAGCATGTGATACGGGAACATCGAACTAGTATGCCAAAAAAAAACATGAATATGATGTCAAACACGATTTTATTACTAGCTATGTTAGCAGCAACCTAAAGAAATGAAAAAGACTTAGAAGTTTGTTCGAACAACTTGATTGATTCATTAGCTATGAACTTTTTGTAAACATTACCACTGCGGAAAAGTCCTAGTCTTGAGGTTTGTTGTGGTTGCCCACTGGGTGTGACCACAGGAATATCTGCCCAAAATAGTACTCATTCCGTATCAAGAAAAGCGGGTCCAATTCGAAAAGAATAGGTATTGTTTTCTGTTGTAAAATTGGCCATATTTTGTCAGTTTTGAAAGGACTTAAACAATGGCGTCTTCACACATGCAAACTTCCGATGACTACCGAGGCGGCAAATTTGAAACTTTGGCGAGTGTCAAGGAGTGAACAATATTCCTCGGGGGGAGGGTGAGGGTTACATTTGTCTCAAAGCGAAACTAACTTAGAGGGAGAGGGACAAAAATACTGTCGTCACCCTATCGGTTCGGTTACACAGTTGCAAAGGTTGTTTGACCTTTGCGAATATTGTTCAGACTGCATTCAAAGATATTTTTTACAAGTTTTTAAATTCAGCTTTCAAATCTCGCGCTTCATTGATTCATTTGAATAACTAATGGACGCACTCAGTGGGTTATTAAGTTCAAAGTGGTAAACTTAGCATTCAAAACTCGCGCTTCGACCATTCATTTGAATAAATTGACTTTACGTATGCTTTTGTAGCTGTTTGAAAAAGGTGGACATTTCATGGACAGTTCGTTTGCCGTCTTGTCAAAACAACGCACTTTTAACCAACTAGGTGATCATTAAATAGAGTTGAAAAACAATAAAGTTAGCCAATTAGAAAGTCTACCGGGTGACCGCATTAATAGATTGTCTGCTAGGTAGTGGTCAAAATGACACTAAATATGTGAAGCAAGCTTCGAGAATTTGATAATTGACTTCGAAAAGCAGATATTGACTATTAAGCCTACTTCACTGAACAGAGGGTCGCTTAATAGTGCTTTGGCTGTATAGTTTTATGCTAGTAATATTTTAATTTTGTACAGGTTCATTGGTTAACATCACAGCTGAGTACTTTGACAAGGAAATTCATCTAACCTGGAGGATGTCTTCGGAAAAACACTGCAGGGAGATCAATATGTTTAACATTAAATGGCTTAATATTCAAAAACCAGGAGATTGTCATGGACAAACGTTAATAGAGGTAAATAAAATAGCTAAGCTGATTCTGGTGATACTATTTTGTTTTCGTTTTCGCGAAAACGTAAGAGAACGTTTTCTAGACCTTAATTTCACGATTTGAGGGAAAATTGATTCAAAAGGGCTGAATTCTATGTATAGAGTGTTTTCACTCACGTGGCCAGCATCTATGCAAATTTATTGGAACAAAAGAAAGCGTTTGCATAAGAAAGGAGTTCAACTCCCACAGGACTGGTTTGGGACACCAACATGGCCGCAGTTTCATTGTTTTGGGACACCAATATGGCCGCCGTGACGTCATGTGAAAACACTCTATAGCCATAATTTACATTTATCTGAATGATATGGATATTAAATTAAAACAGAACAAACGTGACTTCCTACTTTATAGGCTGGTAGAATACGCTATGTGCTATTTTTTCGTGCACACCCAATGAAATTGTGGCTGTTACTGTCGACTAATTTTTCTAAAAAACTGTAAGAACATTGAGGTTTGGCTAGGCAGTGATTTTGCTACAAATAGTTATGGTGAGTCTCGGGACTCATCTTGTGAAAAGTCACGAGTCCCAGTGCAGAACCAATGAATCCCAGTTAAAAAAACGAGTCCTAAATTGAACTTGCCTGGGCCTTTATGTAACCAGACAGTTAATGTGAAGACAGACTTCAAAACTCTTTAGTACAGTTTACTGAAATTATAATATAGTCCTTCTTTTTGAAGCACAAAAAAGACTTAAAGAAGTATGCGTCGTTAAACAACGGCTACAACAACAGCCACAGAAATCACATGAACAGGATATTCTACAAAAATATCGATCGATCGATCAATCTTTGCGTTCGACAGGACGCATGCCATGAATTATTTTGCGTCTTTGGGGATTTTTATGCGTCAGGGACGCGGACGCAGAGGTAACAAAATCACTGCTAGGGAGGAAACGGAGCAAAGCTACAGAAAGTATTTTGTAGATCATTATAAAATCTATTTGCTGGATTTTTTAGGTGAATTGATATCGACCACAAGTTGAAACAACTCTTTTTGGGGTCACGTTTTAGCCATATAAGGTGTTCTTTGGCTAGCTGGGGTAAAGTGTTGACAGTCCTCATTTCATTCCAGTTTGAGTTGACGTTTAAGGAAAAATGTTTGTTGGACAGGTAGTCCCATATTCACACGTTACGCACTATAGACAGACTCCAAAAATGTGTTTATTGTATTTTGATAATTGCAGGGTGAATACAACTGTACCATTTCTTTAAGCAAAGAATGTTCCAGATTTAACTACTCCATAAGGGTAAGAGTACCACAACATAAACTTTCTTGTATGGCACTCTTTCATTGTTAGGGTTACTTCTTCATGACACGTAATAATTGTACGTTAAGTTTAGGTCCTGGTCCATTGAAGAAGGTAATTTTATTTTGTTTTATTAGCCTGAATTTAAGCCATCTCCTCCAGTCGCAAAATTCCTGAAAGAGACGTCTGAATCAACGAGCCGCTAATGCTGTCCAGTCACGTCACTATCTGAAAACTCGGTAGTGACTGATTGGCTGATTGTCAAAACATTCGCTTAATTCTGTGTTAATACGCGGGAATATTTATCACATCGCATGCTTGCGTGGATCGAAGTCATTGTGGAGTTTAAAATTTCGACAATCTTTATCGTAAACAGCAAAATAAACTTTTCCAGTTCTTGTCTTCGAAACTGTGACTTGTTTATGTGAACTACGAATGAAGTGTCTATGTGGAAAGTCAGTAGGTTTTTAGTTAAAGCCTCTTTGTGGTTTCGGTAGTGATATCGGATTGATGCTTGTGAGATCATAAGCGACTAGCTTGTGTCATGCTAGCAAATTTTTCGAGCGTTAATTCTGTCATTTCCACTATCAAGTGTAATGATTCTGTTGGTTTTTGTTGCATCCTTATTTCAGGAAAAAACCTGTTTGGGTCACCCTGTGTTTATAAATCTAGAAGGAAAAGAAATCACAAGAAACAGTTGTTTAGGGACCTCCTCCAACATGCCAAACAATTAATTCCAATACTAAGAAACACTGTAGATATTTACTGTAGATACACAGCAAGAAATCAAATGTGGTAAAATACCCTCCCCAAAAAAACAGAAATTGGTTTCAAGAAAACAAAAACGAATCGACGTATCGCTGAATCATCTTAACGTTTTTTTTTTTTCAAACTGAAGCTAACATTAAGTGACACCAAGTGCTATGACCTTTTATGCAATTAACCATTCAATTCAAAGTAGACAGACTGCAAATTATCTTAGTTGCTAAAAAATATATATCTACGTGTCGCAACTGTTCATCAGTAGGATGCCTAAAATGCGTGCAATTCCACAATTGGTTTCGGCTCCATTAAATCCTATACCAATTGCAGAACATTTTAGGAGGAGCCACCCACCATGTGAGCACATGCAGTCACGGACAATGTATAAGTGAGGAAAATAACGCAAAGTAAAATTAAGACGTTAATAAACGAACTAAATGTACACATCAATTAAATAAATAAACAAATAATGCGCGCGCTCAAAATAAAATTGTTATTGTTCCACATAACACAAAGAAATCAAAAACAGCTGAACTGCTGAATCTTCAAGATGATAAAAAAAGACAAGTATATAAATCAAGGAGCAGTTGAACATTCAGATGAGTTCAACGAACAAGCTTCGTCCGAAGGGTGGTTATAACACAAAGAAAAAATGTACTCAGCACCACCTTACCTTTAAAATTCTGTGACGGCCTCAAAGTGTAACATCGTAGCGATCCATTCGTGACATTGCTGGGATTGAAATTGCTGGAATCAAATGTGCCGAACAAACTCCTACTGAATTTTCACGCATCAACGCGACAGCTTTCCAGCTCTTCTCTTGCTACTTTGACTTTGCATCCTACACAACCTGACTTGCAGATGATTCCAAGTTGCAGCCAATAAAATCGCACAATTTTTCTGGCCAAGGGCACGGCCTACGGGAAAGTTAAAAAACAAGACGCCGTGGGAGCGTATATTTGGGTGTCAATTTGCAAGGGGTGTGGGAAGTGTTTTATGGGTTTCAGGGCTGTGTGAGTAGTGCAGTAGCGTTGTATGTTTAGGGGTTGGTTGAGACGTGTGAAGTGGAAGGCGTGGAGTTATATTGGACGTGGATTGGTAAGATAATGCCTGTAGTTTGTTAATCAGTCTGGTTTCTCGTAAAATTTAACATGAAGTAATAAGAATTAATTTTTTGGAAGGTAAAAGCTATTTTAGGTGTTGCGGTGGGGTAGTTGTGGGAGTGCTAATTTGGCTATGAAGGGATAGTGTAATTACAGTCTGTTGAAATGAAGTGGTGATTGTGAAAGATCTTATCAATAGTGGAAAACATACTTGAACTTATTTTAAACGTTGTGAGGCTTTCTGTTCTGGACAATATTTGTATGGAGAGAATGTAGATAAGGGGAAAGTTCATTTAATACAGAGAAGGAGGTATGAAGAAAATTTTGTGTGTGTGTTCGGGGGGCTTCCAAAAATCGGTGAGGTCTTTGGGGAGCGCGTAAAATCTGGCTATGAAATTAAGGGCCGGATTGCATAAGCCGGGCTGGTTTCGCTTTGCAGAGATCTCGGCGCCTTAGTTAAACACAACAGAAATCAACTTTGAAAAACAAATTGTTTACTTTGATCTTATTCAGTCACAATATGTTGGCGATGCACTGGTCATTTTGCTTCGCATTGTTACTGTAGAGAAGGAGAGGTCGGTCAGCGAGTCAGCTCGGCTCTCTTGTAAGAGTGGCTAAACTGCAATTCAAGCCACCACCGCAGCAACCACCATCACAGAAACGCAAACGACAAAGAAATGTTATATGGTTTAATCCACCATACAACAAAAACATCAAAACCAACATCGCCTTATTGAAAGATCTTTTCCAGCGGTCTACGACTGAGGAAAATTTTCAACAGGAACACCGTAAAGCTCAGCTACACCTGCATGCCCAACGTCAAAGAAATAATAGATGGCCACAGCAAAGCCATTCTCAAGATAGCAGAAACAGCTCAACCACAGAAAGACGGAGGGAAAACGTGTAGCCGTAGGAAGAAAGAAGACTGCCCACTAAACGGGGAATGCCTGATGAGTGAAGTCGTGTACTAAGCCACGGTCACAATCCGAGACAAAAAAGAGACATACATCGGTCTCACAGCTGCTCAGTTCAAGGCAAGATACAAAAACCACATGATGTCATTTAGACATGAAAAGAGAAGGAATGAGACTGAGCTGAGTAAGCAACTGTGACAGATAAAGGAGGCAAATAAAGAATTCGGTATCACTTGGAAAATACTCGCCAAAGCAAAACCTTACACCAACCTTGCAAAACATTGTAATCTATGTACTAGAGAGAAGTTCTTTTTAATCTGTAGGCCTTAGATGGCAACACTGAACAAGCTCAACGAACCTGTCTCAACATGTAGACGTCGGTGCAAGTTCATCCTAAGGTATAATTGAACATGTCAAAGGCAGAGATTTTAGCGCGAGCATTTAGGGTGACTTAGGTTTCGTATAAGAGTTGTAGGCGATTAAGAGCACGCGCGCGCTTTTCATTCTAAAATTTTTAAAAGTTTAAATTTCAAACGTTATATGTAACCGTTTTTACTACGCGATCATACCCCCATGGCATTCTGTTGTTGCCCACAACTAGCAGTACTGCGTTAGATATTCAGCATTTATAACATGACGTGGATGTGCATTTATATTCAAGAGTGAAAGAAATCTTTTGGATAGAAAAGGATTCTACAAATATATATTCCTTGTGTTAGAGCTAATTTTATGTGGATCCCAATGTAAGGAATCAAATTCAGGAAATTCATGTCTGTTGTCTGTACTTTAAACTGGAATGGCAGTCCAGCAAGTGCAAAGCTTAACAAGGGCAAAAGTTCTTTTGCACTTGCACATGTGCTAGTGTCAAAGTGGGAGTAATGCAGTAATGATCATCCATGCACATCCATGTCTTATATTTTATATTGATTTCAGTTCAGGTCAAGTAATACGGGCAACATTTTCGCTCGACTTGTCGCGCAACACTGTTGCATTGCAAGTTGAAAAGGGTTGTTGCCCGTATTACAATTTCGCTCTCAACTTGTCACGCAACAAATTTCGATGTTGCAAGTTGTGGTTCATTTAGAAAATCCTGCGTTGTGATTGGTCAGTGGTGTGTTTTGCGTCAGCAAACAAAGTGTGGATTGGTTTGCGGGAAGAGAGGGGGCTTTACCATTAGCTTGTAAAGGAACTTGAGTCGGGAAACATTTTTGCTTAAATTTTTGACATAAGTGATAACTCATCCAAAGATCTTGTCCTCCGCTGCTTGTTTTTATTATCTGCTCAACAAGGGTTCTTGTAAAATGAATCTGAGAGCTTACAGAGCATGATTGTTAAAACTCAATCCTATCTAACCCACCCCCCCCCCTCCCTTGGACGCGATATCAAACATACAAGAATGAAAGAGTGTTCCAAAACAATTCTTTGTTGGGACATACTCTTGCATGTTAAAGAAAAATCTGAAAACAAGGTTGAAAAGGACAGGAAGAATTTGGCTATCTTTCACGAAGTTTTAGCAAATAATATTTGACATTCCGCCGCCTCGATCTCTAAATCGTTGAGATTAAGTAATCGACATGGAGCATCAAAGTACATGTAAACCAAAAAAGCAAATTTCCAAAACGAAAAGAAAATTGCTATATAAATTACGCTAAATTCTGGCCACTATAATTATGTTACATAACCTTCGGTGATACTGCTCCACGTTTCAAAAAGTAAATCAAGGAGTATATCTTACCTAAATGCTAGGCAGCTCTGCAGATCATGGACGATAACCCAGAAATCCGCGACCGCTTGAATGTTAACACAGAAACATCTCAAAACAAACGACTTCGTGAACGCTTTGTCCGCTTCTTCAGTGGCCAAACTGAGGAAAATTAACCGGCTAAATGGTCCTTCTACCATACATGAGAATTCGGAATATGATACATGTCTGCCGTTGAGTGGATATGGAAAACAATCTCCCTTGAAAGTGTTTCAGGTCAGCTTTCCGCCATCACGAAATCCCGTCAACAGATTATCACTTGCTGTTCGTTGACAGCGCTTATCCTGTTTTCAATAAAATTCTGAATATCGTTGACTGTTTCTTTTCACAGGAACCTATATTTACTCGCATTGTATTCGAGTAACTGATCCAGTTCCGATAGGCAATCGTTTTGGAAAAGTGTAGGCGACTTTAAAAAGTTGCGGGACCGGAGCAATTTTGACCAAGCGGTGGAAGGGGAGACTAAATTGCTTCTGGAGCGTGACCAGAAGCGTGATCAAGCAAAAAGCAATGCAAAATTTTGTGGTCAGCCCAGTACAAGAAACATTAATCTAGATTTTTCACTCAAGCAACTCCGGTTGACTGCTCCTAAAGTGTTTAATTTTGCGCCAAAACCAAACGCAAGGTACCCGTCTGGGATTCCCTTCCCTACCCTACTGAGTTTTGCACCCCTACCCTCAGCGTCTGCACGGACAGTCTTTTGGGCGTACGCTGACCTCATAACCAAATTTTCTCGGATTCATAGGTTGCCAATTTCCTTTAGCTATAGGACTCTGCTGCGCGCGTGCTTCCCGCGCGTGCACGCTTCGGTACACATTCTGCGGGGTGGTTTAATTTGCCTTGTTACAGTACGGTAAAAAGCTGCCTGTATTTCATATTTTCCTACTTCATATTATACCTTTGCGGCACGAAGCTAGGTTCATTTATTTATTTTATGTCCACGCACACAAGCTTCGACTCCACTCCATTGTTTTAAGGTTGTTGTTTATGCTCACTGGAGTGTAATGCAGAAGAGATCCGATTACCTGCTGAGCATCTATATTTTGAAATTCATTTTTAGCTAAGTGGAAAGACAAACGATACTGAGGGCAAACTATCAAAGGTGACAGTGATAATTCCACCGATGAAGCAAACACCATCACCCAACAACGCGACGTCTAATAGAGGTACCGTGTTCTTTAAACTTTTTTTACAGTTGTTGACCTTTAAAGTGGGCTAAGGCAACAAAGGAAATAGGAGACGTCTGCACGCAGGCAAATAATAATAATAATAAAATATTTATATAGCGCTTATACTTTTCAGTGCTAAGCGCTTTACAATAGTTCAAAAGGTCTGAATAAAAAATAAAAATCTTAAAATCATTACACACACACATATATACCGTTGTGTAAAAAAACGGTACCGTAAGAAAGCTGTTTTTTTGCAATGATATATATTTGTAAAAGGACAGCTTTTTTGTATATATTTTTTGTGTATTTGTATATATTTTGTAAAAAAACGGTCATACTCTAAATGTTGCTGGGAATTCAGCTTGTATTCATAGTAAAGTTCTCCAGCCTTTACAAGTGTTTGATCTGGCTTTTTTCTCGATCTCTTAAATGAAACACGCATTGGCGTACGTCACAGACCGCCTTTATAGTCCCTAATTCTTATAAACAAATCGGCTGCTGCTTTTATGGCCTTACAAGTTGCTCTGTGCATTGCAAAAATTAGACTAACAAGCGAGTGTATGTACGCTTGTAGCTATAGGCTAGCGTTTCCTTTTGCTTGATTAACCGACTTAACATGTTCCTACATCATGTTGAAAGCTTAAAGTTGTAACGCAGACATGACACTCTTGCATGCATCGACATGGATTTCAACATACCATGAATCCCGTGATAGAAGTTTAGCGCATCATACATAATACAGGAAATTGCCTAACAATTGCTGTCGTTGATTCTTGCTGAAGATTTTATGCTAGAAATAGAGTTATAATTTATTTGTCCACTGCTAAGAGCATCAAAGCATTATGGCCAAGTATTTTGTTGACAGTTAAACCGATTATTGCAGTTGATAACCTTGGGAAAATAGATAAATAATACAGAACAATATTCTGTACAGTTTTCGGCTTGAACAAAAGTAGCAATGAAGGAGAGAACAGGGGCACCCAACGGCAATTTTCGGGAAAATATCTGTTCGGAAGACGATTTGAGATCTAGAATTTTCGGAGCATTTGTTGTAAAATTTCTTGCTTGCCTGCCTTTCCTAGGATTTTCGAACATCTACAAAATGGTATAATTACCCATTTTTAACGGATTTTGACCCTAAAAAAGGCCACCTAGAATTTTCGGGAACCTTTTCCTGGCTGAAATTTTCGAGAAGGTAAGTTTTTATCCCTATAATTTTCGGATCACTTGACTTTCAGCTAGGAAATCCGAACAGATGAAAAGTTTTTAGGGTATAAAAATATGCCTATATCTACCGTTTGAATACTAAAATACGTTCAACAATGCTATGTTAAGTGGTTTTGAACTATATCCTCGTTGGGTGCCCCTGAGAGAATAGAAGGCTTTGGTTGCTGCAACAGATTGTGACAGGCATTGCTTATATATACTGCATGCCCTGCGTGACCTCGGCCGATAAGCATAACAAATGAAATTACTGCCCGTTCCTTCTTCGCATCCAACAATTAGAAGGTCCTGGAAAATTGAATGACAAAGGAAACAAGAAGAAAGAATAAAAAGAACGCTGTCAGCGAGTTAACAAGGGAATTTAAAAGCCCCACAATAAAGGGGACTCGGGAACGTGAACGTGACTAGCCGGATATCTTAAAATGTACGGTTGGAGAAGCGCAGGAAAACTACAGTTCAATAAAGTTCGAACCATGCTATAGAAAACAGCCTGTCTTCGATAAATGGGTTTGTCAAATGGTGTTTATGTATAAAATAGCAGTATTTTTACATCAAAAGGCAGCTTTCTTACAAAAATATCTTTTGTAAAAAAAACAGATTTTTTACATAAAGAAGCAGCTTTTTGACAAAAATATATTTTGTAAAAAAGCAGCTTTTTTACGTAAAAAAGCAGTATTTTTACAACCGGTTAATTTGTAAAAAAGCTACTTTTTTATAAAAATATATTTTTGTAAAAGAGCAGTATTTTTACAACCGGTTAACTTGTAAAAAAGCTGCTTTTTTACAAAAATATATTTTTGTAAAAAAGCAGTATTTTTACAACCAGGTAACTTGTAAAAAAGCAGCTTTTTTACAACATAAGAATGACGCTTTTTTACAAGGACCGTTTTTTTATGCAACAACTGTTATATATATACATAGTCACAAAAATACAAAATAAAAAACCTAAGATAGTTCATTAACTCGTTTAAAAAGATAGGTCTTCAATTTAGATTTAAACTTATTTACATTATCGATCGATCTAATGTCAATAGGCAAATCGTTCCAGAGTATAGGGGCAATGACTGAAAAATCCCTGAAACCGTATGTCTTTAAGTTATAGGGTTTAATAACAATACGCCACTTGTCTGAAGATGATCGAAGGTACCTCGCAGGTTCATAAACATGGATTAGGTCAACCAAATAATCAGGAGCTAAATTGTCGAGTATCTTAAAACAAATAAGATTAATCTTAAAGATTATTCTTTGCTCCACTGGTAGCCAGTGCAACTCCATTAGAGTATCACTTATGTGATCAAACGTTCTTAAGCAGGCAATCACACGCGCTGCAGCGTTTTGGACACTTTGCAGTTTGTTAATTTCATACTTTGGAAGACCATGTAAAAGCGAGTTGCAGAAATCCAGCTTTGAATTTATGAATGCGTGCACAAGAACTTCAGCCGTAATGACATTGATATACTTACGAATCTTAGCTATATTTCCAAGGTGGTAGAATGCCACTTTAACTGTGTTGTTAATATGAACAGACATCGTTACGGTGTTATCGAAAATGACGCCGATATTACGCGCCTTATTTGTAGGCTTGATGATATCAGTTCCTATTTTAATAGAAGGTAGCCGTGGGGGCAGTCTGAACCTAGAATAGAGAAAGAGAAGTTCCGTTTTGTCAGTATTTAGTTTCAATTTGTTAGTAGTCATCCAGTTGGTGATATCGACAAGACAGCTTTCAATCCGGGAAATTGTAGTGTAAGATCATCCTTATCATCGTAACTGAAGGTGGTGTACAGTTGAGTATTATCAGCATATAGATGGAAGTCCATGTCATGCCATCGTATTAGGTCACCTAGTGGGGCCGTGTACAACAGATACAGCAGCGGACCCAACACAGACCCCTAGGGTACACCAAATCTGAGCGGACGAAATGAAGAGGTAAATCCATCAATCTGAACTGACTGGGAACGATCCGTAAGATAAGACTGAAGCCACGAAAGCGCTTTTCCTTTTATACCAAAACTGGATCGCAGTCTTTGTAACAATATCTTATGATCGACGGCGTCGAAGGCTGCTGATAGGTCTAGCAGCAAGAGAACGACGAATTGTTTATCATCAATTGATTTCAGTATATCATTTTGAACACGTAGAAGCGCTGTCTCACAACTGTGGTGTTTCTTATAAGCAGACTGGAGACTGTTATCACACAAATAATTCGTCAGACGCATGGCTGCAACTTTTTCAATAACTTTACGTAAAAGAGAAGCAGGTACAGGATCAAGAGAACACGATTTGGCGGCGATTCTTTTCACGAGACCAGAAAGTTCATCCTCTGAGGTGGGAGAAAATTCGCTTAATTCACATGTAATTACGGTGTCATCAATCAATGGAAAAGCAGGAGCATCAGTAATAGATAACGTATCCAGTTGATGCCTGATTGTCACAATTGTGTCGCAGAAAAAGTCAGCGAAAGTCAGCTATACTTCGTACCGGAGATAATTTGAATTCTAAGCTAAATGAAATAACAAGAAAGCAATATTCATCATGGAGAATGTGGCCTGCTCCATGTACAAAAGCCAGAGAGTAAAGAAAGTTAGTTACAAAAGGTGAAACAATCAATCATAAATTGATACTTAACTTAAAGCACGGGCCGATCTGGCGAGGTAAGGGCTGACAACGCACATCTGTGCCACGCTTAAAGTGATGCCTTAAATCCGACTGCACATTAGGAATACCGGTAGGCTAAGAAGTACGGCGATCGGGATAAGAATACGGTAAGGCTGATATTTCTGATACGGCCTCTGCAAACGCTTCTTCTTCGCCTCTTAAATTTTCTTCTTTGCTATCTTCTCCGAGCGAAACAGCCTCTTCTCGTCATCGAGTCAGAAGCCAACCCGTCCGAAAGACATCCTGCACAGTCGCCCAACTGTATTGACTTTTATCTGCGATCTTTATAAGCTTCATTCTTTTAGAGACTAATGCAATACCTTCTTCGATGGCTGTGATCTTTGCCTTGGAAATGGCGTTGACGCTTAGGGCATCCGTCGCACCTTCGACCTTTTCCAAAACCGATTCAGCGTGCTCGAACTGCTTCTCATTGCCTTTACTTTTAAAAACGTAACGATCGCGCCTAGCACGTTTAAGGTAACTCGACCCAGTTTTTTTGGGGGGGTACCATCCTACTTTGAAGCTCTCTGGTATCCCCACCTTTACTTTTATCGTAAGTCTAACACATAGAATCGATAACATATAGATCAATCTACAATATAACATAAAATTTTTGGCGATCGGAGTAAATGTCACGTGGTTATAATGCCACGCCCATTTGAGGTCTGAGTCGAAAATCTGCTGTTGCCGGCATTTTTTCGTGAAAATCTCTCGGCTACACATAGTGCGCATTAGTGCCTTGCGCTGAACAGAGTTTCACCAAAATCGCAAAGACCCAATTCGAGAAATTCAGCGGTTTCCAAATTTAGGTCATAATTTATGCGAAAATGATAAGCAAACTTTATACGGATTATATCTAATAAACTATGAGATTCATCTCTTTATTTTGGGCATCGTTATAACAGATGGGTCCTTGCAAGTCAGCAAAACGCTTTAGGGCCTTGTAAATGCGCGCGATTTCGAGCGAAGTAAACATATAGAAATTATAGTTTTCGCTATTTGTTGACGTTTGTCAGCGTTTAAGAGTCCTTCTCACGAAAAAAGCATTTTCTTAAAAATTCGTAGTTTTTTTTCCTTCAAATTTTTTTAGGGCCACAGTTGATTAACTAACTACCCGGACTCCGAATTTCATGGTCATTGAAAAACTGTGACATTATCTTCTATAAGCCCAAACTTGAGTAAACATTGAAGATTTTTAGCGTTTTGGCTGAGTTTGTGCTTTGGGAGTTGTCTATTGTTTCTAGTCTGTCATTATACGGCATTCTTGTTCAGCACGCGTGCAATGACCGCGCTTGGCCGACTTCCGAATGCGAATATATCTGACTCGAACCCGAAGCCATGGAATCGGCTACCTCCTTTTGAACCAGAGACTGGAAATCATCATTAGAACTGCGTCTTGGAAAATCAGGCATCTTGTGCTATTAATCAAAAATTGTCTGCCTGATTCACGTACTGGGGCGAAAGTGACTCACAGAATACATTAACTACAATATATACCCTCCATGAAACAATGCATAATTCCTCATCACCAAAGTAGGTGTAATTGCCCATGAATTAACGCGTAGAAAGTCATTATCTCCTATACTTCGTACCGGAGATAATTTGCATATTTTAGTAAATTTAGTTTTGTTCTTGCTTAGTCGATAGGCCTCATTATTCCGCCCGGTCAATGCGTTCGGGTCACGTGGTCCGAGCGAGGCAGGGAGGCCTAGTAGACAAAAACTCCTTAGAAGTGAGACAAAAGTGAGACATTCTGTGCGGTGGTTTTCAAGACCAAAGCTTCGCATTTCAAGGTTAAAAAGTCTATCGTCAAAAGACAGATTGGAAAGGAAAGTTCAAACGAATGTTCAGTTTTCTTTTAGTTGGGAAAGGAAGGCTTTTCTTTACAAAATTGTCCTTCGAGGAATTCGAGGTTTTCTTCACGCAGGGGCACCCAACGGCAAATTTCGGGAAAATATCTGTTCGGAAGACGATTTGAGATCTAGAATTTTCGGAGCATTTGTTGTAAAATTTCTTGCTTGCCTGCCTCCCCTAGGATTTTCGAACATCTACAAAATGGTATAATTACCCATTTTTAACGGATTTTGACCCTAAAAAAGGCCACCTAGAATTTTCGGGAGCCTTTTCCTGGCTGAAATTTTCGAGAAGGTAAGTTTCTATCCCTATAATTTTCGGATCACTTGACTTTCAGCTAGGAAATCCGAACAGATGAAAAGTTTTTAGGGGATAAAAATATGCCTATATCTACCGTTTGAATACTAAAATACGTTCAACAATGCTATGTTAAGTGGTTTTGAACTATATCCTCGTTGGGAGCCCCTGTTCACGGAGGAGCGCTTGACCTATTTTGAAAGGCAATCAAGCAGATAAATTTTTGAAGAAGTTTCAGGGACATTTTGTACACTGTACTCAAGAAAATTGCGTTTTTAAAGGGAAATTTATGTATTTGTGAATATTTGATAGACATTTTTTATACATTTTGAGACTTGTGTTGAATTTTGCCATGTGCTCAACCTATTTTTGTTTACGTGAACGGATCTACGGGCCAGGTAGTGTTACGCGAATTACTTTTAAGGATTAATTCACCTTCTGAGCGTCCTATTTCACTTGTAGTCTCACGTGACTTTTGATTAACTTTGTCGTAAACAAACCCCAAAAATTCGGACATCCGTTCTCTGTCACATACTGTACTTGTACGAACTACGAGTCGCTATTTCAAGTTCGCGTTAATTACCCGGCCTTCCCTTCAGGAAGAGACGGGTATAGTTCTGGCCTGGGTTTTTTATTCGTTGACGTTCCGCCGTTTGCTCTTTGAAGCAATGCGTGAACTGGCGAAATATCACGTGGTCAATTTTTGACAAATTCATTGGCTTAGAGCCAAAATCCGCTTGATATGTTGTCGAGATAAAACAAGAAAAGGCAGTTTTTTGTCAGTCGGTAGGGTTAACGGTGTTGGTTTGTGGTCTCTATGACAGATCAACAATTATTTTGGTCGAAATATTTAGTGATATGAGTTGTTTAGAGGATATTGCATCCTGGAACTGTCAGACAAACACAGTGGCTCGATCCGTTTAATGGAGACCGGCGTTGGGATCGCTGGTCGCGAGAGGAAGACATGCTAAAAAACAGTAAAAAGGTGGGTAATTTTCGCTTTTTATGTTTAGTGCAAGTCACGAGAATTTATATAATATTTATATATTGGGCTTTGTTTTGGTGGTTACGCGTGCACCGAGTTGCACGAAAGCAGCAGTTTTGTAAAACGTATGGACCCTTTTTGTGCTGAATTTCGATGAATTGTACAACTTGACTGTTCGATCTGAATGAACACGTCCATATACGTCACGTCACTGTAAATACCTTAGAAATTTTATGCTTTATAGTTTTTATCGCAAAACAGTAAGACAAATGCTTTGATTTAGCAATATAGCAAAGTTTGCACCTAGTTGCAGGAATGTGGCAGTTAATTACCGTTTCGGCGCCTTTTCATTTATTAAAACAAACAAATCTAACTGTTCATCGCAGACGTCTGTGCTTGGTCCCAGTCTCGTGCTTCCCAGCTGTCTCGGTATAAAAACAGAAACTTACTATCGAAACTTGTATCGAGCTTGCACAGAAGCGGCAGTTTATTGTTAAAATTCGACGATTGTGATCGATCAAACAACATTTCATTGTTAAATTAAATCAAAGATTACATGTAAACTTATAGTTCTTAAAAAAATGAACACTTAATGGTTACTATCGAATTTCGATCTTGCAAAACTCCGTTTTGATCGATCCATCATTATTAGAAATTTCAAAATTATCTATGTTAGAAATTTTTCTCTTTGCTGTGTTTAGCTACTGTTCACTTATACTTGCAATTAAAAGGATCGACAAATCGGATATAATATTCTGTATTTAAATTGGTTTCGGTACACAGAATAGATTTGGGTTTTCTATCGTTACTTCTTTGCTTGTTGTTGAATCAATGACAAAAGCAATGAAATATTGACATATGCTTTATCTATTTACTCTTCTTTTTTTTTTCAGAGAAGATGAACTTGCATCAGAGTGACAGTAAAATCGAAACAAAGATGATCTTACCCATGGGAAGATCTGGGTTTTTTCGGGCCTGTTTACATGGAGGTGGGGGACCCCAGGTAGGTGGGGTAACATGTGGTGGGTCACCCCGCCTAACGTGTAAACGTGATCACATTAAAATGAGAGATTATACGGACAGGCGGGTTACCTCACCTACCTTGGGTCCCCCACCTCCATGTAAACAGGCCCTTACTCGATCCTTTATAGAGATTATCATGTACAATGATCACTTCAGCAACCAAAGTATCCTATATGATAATATTATTATTCAACCAAGCTGTTCTCTTCCTCTTCTTATAGGGTTTTATTTCAAAGTTTTTGCCCTCAAAATATTAGTTTACTACGTAACCTGAGATTGTGGCTGAAGCTCATGCCTAATATAAAGAAAGAGAAAACTAGCTACAAAACTATTTGACGCATTACATTGTTATGCAGTCATGGTCGAGTACACCCCTTTGGAACGTTTGAGTCTTTCCAGTCTGATTTGCCAGCCGGTAGTATTTTTTTTTTCATTTATTCATCATCAAACTTCATACGGGCTGTAGTGCCATTAATACATAATGCACATTTTTCCCCTGTATCATTGTATGCCCTAAAAGAAGGCCGGGTTCATGCGCTCGTACGTCTTGTTTATAAATTTTATTTTCCTTTAGCTGTTTGAAACTTGAAAAGTTTAAGATTCAAAAATATCTAAGTAGAAGAAAAAGAGCATGACAGAACGGCAGGAACGAGGAGTGCTTGTAGTGGAGATTACCGCCTCAACAGCTGAAATGGTTTTAAAGTTGGAACTTCGAAAGAGATAAAACCGGTGATGTAGGCAAATTTCATGATACACATACATAATTCACATTTCAAAATTCATGATCACGCACTATTAATTTCCAGTTTTCTAATTTTCTTTATAAAGACCGCTATTGGTTGTTTGACATTATATTTTCAATTGTACATTACGGCAAACAGGGACTGGACACTTTTGATGACGGTTATGTTGAATATTTACTAACTGCTAAGTTGAATCAAGAGGCTGTTCACACATATGTTGCAAAAAAGTGTAGGCTTCTCTGAACATGTGCTTGGTTTGTATTTAATCGCGTAGAGACAAACGGAGGCAGTCTACAGGGAAGAGCCGCCCAGTGGATCTGTTAATAAATCATTATTATTATAATATATTATTGTTATTATTACTTCAGGCAAGATAAGCATAAACTTACTTACATTTAACCGTATAATAGCCGGTCGGGACGAAAATGTAAGCACACTGCAGTGTCATGAATTATAAGTGTGTTTGGATCCACCAGGCAAAACCATTCTTTCAACTGCACAGGGGGTTTCCATGCCACGCACTTATTGAAACTCCATGTTGCGAGGAATATTTTTTCTGTTTTACCTTACTCGAGGCGGTTAAAGTCACTCCTGGTCTTCTGCTTTGACATTTTGAACCCTAACTATTCGATTTTCAAACCGCGAAAGGGAAGGAAAATAAATACGTTAACGGGAACTTGAAATAGCGACTCGTAGTTCGTACCAGTACAGTATATGGGAGAGAACGATGTCCGAACTTTCAGGGTTTGTTTACAACAAAGGTCATGAAAACTCACGTGAAACTACACGTGAAATCTGACGCTCAGAAGGTGAATTAAAATATTCCGATAAATAATTTCTCTGTCTGTTGTTGTGTGTTCTTTCATTGATAACATCATCTCAAAAGACGAGCCTGAGACTACATCCCAAGTTATTTTTAAATGCTTCTCACGTTACACGCATCACTTCTGCGAAGATATCGGCTATTTTTTTTAGGTTCAGTTTTTGGGCACTTTTCGATACGCAGCTAATAAAGATTGTAGAATTATCCTCCTACATTGATTTTGAGAAGCTTACAACTGACTGTCCTTTAAACGCCAGTGGTGATGGTTACAATACAAAGACTTTTCTGCAGTTCGACAGACGTTACAACTTCCCTTTTATTTCTTGCTATTTTTGGATTTTTCTTGTTCTTATCGACTTTCTCGATTGTCAAATAGATGTGCAGCTCATAGTTTGAATAGGATTATCCCATTGTAGCTTACATGTCTTCCGTCTCTTCGAATGGCTTGGGCTCGTCGGTTATCATACCAATTACGTCGCTTCCTGTATTGTTACTTTCTCATCAGGTGATGTGCAATCGCCCCCAGCAGACAATACTACAAAAATATTAATTTCTGTCCTTGGTAGTTTTTTTGGCGTTGTTATTTGTACTCTTCTGGTGGTTTACAGAATATTTTTCCAGCAAGGTAAGAACGTTTTGCTATTTTGTGCTTTATGTGTGTTGTAAATTTTATCAACCCGGAGAATGCTCCCTCATAAAATTCGAGTTGTGTACACCCAGGAGCGTCTTAGGAATAGGGAGAAGAGAGACATGCAAATATGGCAGACCTCTCGGCCGGCCCGGGTCTAGTTGTGAGTTTGCGAGGATAGTGAGGCCCCAAGAGTTTTGTTTTGACTGCGCGTCTTAGCGATTGAGTCGATCGATATGGTTTACTTCGAGTTGTTGCGTGCCTGAGTGCCACCAAAAAGGAGATTTTACCCTAGCTGGAGCTACCTTTACTTTCCCGAGCTCTTTTCATAAAGAACGTTGAGGGTTGGTGCGTTTCGGCGCGGAGATGGAAAGCACTTAACGGCGAAAACGCAAGTGACCTTTCTTCACTTGCTTTTGAAAAGAGGACTCACGGAAGTATGTGAATGAAATAATTTTCGTAATAGATGGTACTGTTCCATAATGTTTGCATGGTCTGTTATTTATCCAACAAAAGGTTAACATTCTCGTAAACAGGGTCATCCGTTGTCGATTTTAAGATCTTTTAGATTTCACGCTAGAAACAGCTGCATTAAAATATAACAATAGTGACGAGTGTGAATAAAACACAACAATAACAATCGCCTGTTAATCCTACAAGCGTAGCCTGTGAGACCATGTAAGAGCCAGAAGAAAGCGACATGTTTGAAGAACATTCCTTTGATCGAAGTGCACTGAAAAAACTGACAGAGAAACTTCCGCAAACTAAGAAAGTACGAGGAGGGAGAAAGGTTCTGGCGGGGAAAGAGCGTGCCAGTATTAGAGCATTGTATTTGCCCTTGCGCGTGATCAATTTGTCCATGGGGTTCGATATAAACTAACAACGGTTTTCCAAAATTGCTACTTTTATGGCACTGCTCAAATTTTTTTACACAGGATCGTGAAGACTGGAAAAATATTCGGTCTATCAGGAGCCCATCTATACGTTTCGTTGTAAATATTTCATGCATAGAAGTGTCCTTGAGAGCTCCTAAGAATTGTTAAAGTCGCTACGGCGGATTCACTCGTTCTTGAGAATGTTTACCTTTCCTTGGTATGGGAAAGGTCAAAGCGAACTTGAAACAGAACCATCTAGCAGGTATTATCCCACTTAAATGTTTTCGTGAGTCTTCTCTTCTGAAGTGAAGCGACCACACTTTCGTTCTTTAGACGCCTTGATAGTAAAGTGCTTCCATTCGCCGCGCCGAATCACTTGAATCCATTTCTTTCTTCGAAAAGAACCTTTGCAAAGGGAAGATAATCAACTTTATTTTCTGGTGTAGTTAAGTCTCCTCTTTGATGACTCTTGAGCACGTAACTACTCGAAGCAAACCATATCGATTGACTCAATCGCTAAGACACGCAGTCAAAACAAAACTCTTGAGGTCTCACTAGCCTCGCTTTCGCGCAACTAGACCCGGGCCGGCCGAAAAGTCCGCCATATTTGCATTCGGTGTATCAGAGGATGTCAGCACATAACAGCCATAACAGCACATGACACAACTGCAATTTAGGCCTAGGGGAATGGCATGGCTACCATATTACAGGCTTCTCGAGAGACACAGAATAACTTAACTTGAAAAGGAATATACCCTTGTAGCTGGACAATTACTATGACAATGTGAATATAATTGCTAGTGTAGCAATTGTTATTGTTTTTTTGCTTTATTATTAGTGTTTTGAATAATTAGACCTCCCATACGCCATGGCCTACACCACGTCCTTTGCCATGTTCTACCCCATGTTCACCCCAGAAGTTTGATTCTTTCCCACATTCCTTTAAACAAAGCACCAAGTCGAGACTTGAGGTGATTAAATACAGTGGTTTGTATGAAATTGTCCCTTATAGCATCGGCCTCATTTCACTGTGTTTGCTGACTAGAGTGGAATGCGGGAAAGGTGTATACATAATGATTTCATCTTTCAAAGAATTGTAGAGTAAAGAAAAATGGTTGGCCTCAAGTCAAACCATATTTGGTTTTTATGCACTGTGCTACGCATACAAATTCTCCGTCACTTCTCCCTAGAGAGAAGATATTCCTCTCGTCTGTGTGTTTCGCTAGCTTCACTTTCTCTCACAATTATAACAGACTACTCGGAACTACTCGTAGTGAAGGTCTGAAATTACGTGAAATTGGGTTAATTAACTGAGTTGATAATTAATGGTCAATTTGCTCCGTAAACAGATTCCGTACTTGAATCTATTCGCTGTAGCACACTCCTGACGTTATCAATTCAGTTGGTAAAATCAAATTCTTCCTTTACACCTCCACCTGACACAGCACTACGGTTTCTTTTGGAACCAACCTTTTAGTCAGGAATCAGTTGTTTGTTTTACTTTGGTTCTGTTGTAGTGCGTATAACACTGCCATATCCTCCAAAACCGTCAACATCAAGACCCAGTTCTGATCAACCTTTACTTGGTAATGATTCAGGTAGGCAACTTTATGCTTTGCTAAAGCTGTAATAGTGCTTTTGTTCATTATACACAGTATTATGCACTCGTGCCTCCTTCAATGTTCTTTTTTTTTTTTTTAATTTTATTTCATTTGCTTTTCCAAAGTACAACAATTACAACAAGTACAATTATTATCACAAAGCATACATGCACACACCTAAGCACACGTGCAATTCCACAATTACCACACAAGGTAATGCCCATTGTTATTTTACAAGTGCTATTCAAAAAAAAAAAAAGAAACTAATCATTTTTACAAAAGAAGAAAAACTACCTAGATTACAAAGTCCATTTGTCCATTAATTTTTGTAAATTCCTATTCTTAGTGAAAATATATTTTTCTATTTCATATTTACCGTTTATTCTAACTATAAAACTGTTTATGGTTGGGAGTAGTTCATTCCTTCTGCAACTCCATAAATATATTTTCCCTATAAGTATAAGATAATTAAGCAAGGGGCATTCAGAAGATAAAAAGCCGATCCAAATTTCCTTTAATGTTAGGTGAACTAGTTGTTTTCGCAACCCAAAATAATATGATTCAATACATTTCCAGAATGAATTTGCATAAGGGCAGTCCCAAAAGAAATGTCTAATAGTTTCTGATTCCCTTTTGCAAAAATAACACAAGTTGTCTGTCCTGTACCCAATCTTGAACAACTTTGAGTTGGTAAAAAGTATAGAATTAAGTATTTTAAATTGAAAGGCTTTGACATAAGGTTCAAACGCGATAGAATGGGGCAAGAGAAATGCCTTTGTGAGATCGTCATTAGATACATTAAAATCCAACTTCAGTTTTTGTGCATAATTTGGGAGACAAGCCTTTTTTTTTATCAAAAAAGGATAATAATCTTTTGATTTCTTTTTTGCTATGTCGAAAACGCCGCCATTGATTTTAAAGGAAGGTATTGCATTAAAGGTACTCGAATCCGAGCGATTAAGAACTCTTAAGTTGGTTGGTATTGAATGTCTCATACTAGTCCATTCAAGGAAGTTTGTCTTTTTAACATTTTTTGCAATCTGTTCGTAGGATTCCGTATTGCTGAGATCAAAATGTAGGTCTCCTATTTCCCAGATACCAATGTCGTAATACTTCTTGTAGAAAAAGGGCTTGTCGTCTATTCTAAAGTCTCGATTATTCCAAATTACATAATGCCAATCGTTATTAAGAGCATTACTTGTAAAAGGTTGTCTGTCTCCACTCAGCCTTGTGTAATAATCAAGATGAATAAACATTTTACAGTAAGTGTGGCGTAACTTCTTTTTAATTTTATATGTTGCAGGTAAGAAGCGTGTCTTAATTTTACACACCAGATGTTGTGAGAAGTGTAACCATGTATTACATTGCTTAGGCACCGTTCTAAGTTCGACAGAGTTAATTGAGCCAAGTATCGACATGTGGAACACGCTAGATATCTCACCTAACGTACCTCGTTGGTACGAAGAGCAGGTCAAGACATCTGATTGTGTTATAGTCCTTGGATCTCGCAAAATGTCTCTCAGATGTCAGAACTTGCTGGAGGAAGGGGATGACCGTAAGTAAACTAACAGATAATCCAAGCTTATCAGCCCCCTACTATAAATATGTGTTTCAGAACATATCGCGTGAGAATTATTGATGGTTATAAAAATTGAGTTGTGTCTAATTAGGTCTGTGACCACACGCTCAGTTAAACAACTTACGCTGTTGTCCGATTTGTTTCATCACTGCTATGGTTACACTCAAAGGAACACAGTACACGTAGTCTTCTGCTAAGTAATAATAACTAAAGTAAAATCTGAGATTAGAAAAAAAATGATAGCATTAACGTAAGAAGTAGGGAACTAAATGACCTTGCCTACTACAAGTGTCCAATGACAGCGCGCATCATGACGTGCATTGTCCAATTACACAGTCCTATTAAGGATGAAATTAAGGTTGCTAGCAGCCAATCAGATTGGAGAAGTTTGTTAAAGTTATGGTCAGTCCCCTGTCCTTTGTATCATATAGCATCATTTTACTTTGTGTCTAAAGTAAATCGCTTACAAGTTGTTATACGTTTTTGTATTGTATGCCCCGCAAGTAGCTATTATGCTAATGTCGGCGGGACCAAAATATTAGACAAAGGCGATATCAAACACATATTACAAGGAGAAAAGAAGCACAATAACAAGCAGAAAGAAACAGTTAAATATCAAGAAAAGTGATTCGTTATTTGAACTAGACTAAAATTGCAACCACAGGTATATACAACAAATTATCAGGTCTACTTCTGTTCGCTACAGTTAAATATCAAGTACACTGATTTGTTATTTGAACTAGACTGGAATTACAAGCAGAGGTATATACAACAAATTATCGGGTTTACTTCTGTCATAAAACATCCTAACAAATAAGTAACATTAATATAACTACCTTCATGATCTAGAACGTTGAGGAGTACTGATTTTATTTTTTCACGAAAATTAGATTCTTTGAGAGTTTTAAAAGAAAGTGAACTAGAATTCCAAATAGACACACCAATTCTAGTGAAGGCGTTTTTCATTTTTTCAGTTCAGAATTTGGAGAATTCTCAGTGGAGAATTTGACAGAAAAACAGTTGTAGAAGGCACAAGTGTAATAACCAACCCTTTCAAATTCCAATTCGATCTGGAACGCACGGACACGTTTCAGCGAGTTCTTATGAACTCCTTAGTGATCCGTGGGTAAACAAATTACAATTTACAATTTTTACAACTGGACCCAAGGGTAATAAAGGTCCCATATGTAACAACATTTTGGGCCAAGCGTTATAAAGGTCCCATCCGCAATAACATTTTGAATCCAAGCGTAATAAGGGTGTTATCTGTAATAAGTGTAAGACCGTATTGTTATAATTAACAATATTGGATTCGGCTTTCGTATCATCTGGAGAATTATGGAGATCGAGGAGGGTGATAACACCCACCGAGATCTTCCTAATTCTTCAGATGATACGAAAGCCGAATTCAATAAGTGTTTTACTGTTCATTCAAAATAATTCCTAGTTTAAAAACAAGCTAAAAAATGCTCACCTCCATCGATGTTAAGTTCATCTTCGATGTTGCATGTTAATCGGCAAGTAGGAGATAAAAGGTTGTTCAGCTCCGCAAATATTCTCCAAAAAGCAGATGTACCGTCGTCCGTCGATTTGTCTTCTTGCTGTTCTTGCTGTGTTTGTAGCAATTAGTTCGCCTATTTCTTCCCCATAAAACGAGTGAAATGTTCCGCCATTTCTGTACTCACGACCAAAACAACTCAACCTCTTCCCAGGTCTTCTCGGTTAACGGTTCAATAACCTGGCAATTTTGCTGCACCATTGACGTCATCAGTTCACATATCGCAAAATTCTTCCAAATTTGGTCGAAAATAGCTAGTTACAATGAATTATGCGTGGGATTTTAGCCAGTCAGAAACGGAGAAATATTTTGAATGAATAATAATTAATTTTATACTCAAACTGGTAATTTGCCAACAACAAATTATGATGAACAAAAGATAAATACTGGAAAGTCACGTGGCATGCGGGAATCATCACCCGCCATTTAATTTTGTTGTCATGGGCTCTACGTCACTGTCAAGGTACACATACACACATAACAGTGTGGCTAGAAAAGTATTAGGTAAACACCAAAGGCCATTGACAAATAAGGCCGTTGCTAAAAGGAATAACACACAAACTGCGGTTACAAACGTCAGAAATAACAAACGCATTGTATAACTGACTTTTATAATATCCAACTTTACGTTTCGTATGCTTCAACATAAATCTTCAGAAGTGACCGTTAACATGAGTAGTAACTAAATTTAAATTTAAAAAACAAAGGTAAGATAAGTAACTAATTAACGTGAAGGAAGAAGCAAATAAATGTGACAGATGAGAAAATTTGCATGAAATTATGCAAACTAGTATAAGTAAAGCTTTTCGCTGGTTTTAAATCCCTAATAACGAGAGTCTCCTTGATTTTACAATGAGTATCTGATTTTCCTCTTGCTGAAATGTAAAAATGGTCCCATTTCAAATTGTGACCAGTTGAAGTGACGTGTTCTGCTAGAGCTGATGAATGACCGTTACAGGTGATTGCCTTGAAGTGTTCAGTTTTTCGGTCATGAAATCTCCGTCTGGTTTTGCCAAAGTAGATATCCTGACAGTCCCAACAACTAGCTTTATATAGAACTTTGGACATTGAGAACGGTTGAGCCTACGAAACGTCAATTTTTCTCTGCCATAGACGCTGTTTGAAGCTGGTGGAGCTGTATTTATCATTAATTCAAATATACATTTGCGGAAAATTAGCTTAATTGCGTATTTCAAAGCTATTTCGCACTATTTCAAGTTCAACGGGCCGACTCGATGTAGATAATCGATGGAACTACTGTACAATTGTAGCTTTACTGAATTTGGTGGAGAATTAGATTATCAACAGAGGCACTCGAAAGGAATGATATGAAGTTAGGCCCGTTTAATTAGCAAAAGAATAGATGAAATATAATTATGTGTGATCTGTGAATGGAACCTCCTATTCTGGAGACTAGACCTTGCCTATTTTAGGGAAAAAAGGTGCCGGTCCCGTGAAATAGATGGCGATCCCGCAACACGGCCCGCAAAACAAAATTAATTAAACAACCACGGACACAAAATATCAAAACGGTTTACACAAGCAGATTATAGCAACACCAAAGCTCACACACATTCGATCAAATAAGAGATATACAGCGATATTTGCTAGATTCTTAGCTTTTGCTCGACCTCGCTCGTCCAAATATCTGTCGTAGCCGTTGCTAATTTGCACAAGCGACCCGAGGGTCTTGCCCTTTACTATGTGACGTCATACTGGCACGCGGAGTAGGTTAAGACACCTAGGTGGAAAACAATAGAGTTACCTCCCCCGGTTTAATCGAAACGAAAGCGAATGACATTTATTTGTTCTGGGGGTATGATTTCTTCAAAAGCACGTATCATAGCCAGTAATTACCAAATCTAAAACCGAGAGCCTTGACAAGATTCGTTGGTACTTTTTTCCCCTTTCAAGTAGCCTGGTTACTTGAACCGTGACGTCAGTAATAAGTTAAGGTTTCGAAAAAGACTATTGGGGACATGTCTCTTATTGTCTCTGCTGGGACCAAAGGTCATTACAGATGAGACCTTTATTACGCTTTGGTACAAATGGTATTAACAGATGGGAGCTTACTTACACTTAGGTCCAGTTATTACACTTGTGCCTTCTACAACATACCCTTGTAGATTATAGCGTATTATGATAATGTTTTGTACTGATTTTAGCAAACTTATCGAGAAGTGTTTTAGGAGCTGACTTAGATCGGAAATCGAATCTCCGACATCTCTGACTTATTCGGAGTTATTCCGCGAGGAAAACCGACATGACTGGTTCAGATTGGGGGCTGTTGTAAATAGTTGAATCAAACCCGTCTGCGGTGATTTTGCAGACCGGTTTTACTTGAAAGAAGCAAGAATTAGTATGGAAAGCTTTTGAGTGGTTCTGAATCTTACCTGTTTCGTTTACATACTCCTACCAGTCTGAGTCGTCCCTTTCGCGGCAGGTTCAGCTCAGTCGGTAGAGCGCTTGATTGCAGAGAGGGAGGTCGCAGGTTCGATTGCCCGTACCGGACCAATACTCAGGGTCTTAAAATAACTGAGAAATGAAGGTACTGCCTTTGCCCTGCAAACGCCTAGAGCTTCGCGTGGCTCGGATGACAACGTAAGGCGCTCCCCCGCCCTCTCCAGTAGGAGACGTTAAAAATAGTGTCCCAATAAATACTTTCGCGCCAAATACATTGACAAATAAAGTGCTTTTTTTTTTCGAAAATCACATCAATCTCACGCAACCAGGCCCTAAGTTAATCTGTTGGATTTTACGCGTTGCACTGTTTCTAATTCTTTGTACAGTTAGGACAAATTGCTTGGCGCACGATGATCGCAAATTCTACCCTCCTTTCTGTACAGTTATGTTGTTATGCGTGTTTCTGCAGGACAACAGTCACAGGAAAAAATAACGGATTCCCATTTTTGGATATTTTTGGGTATTTAAAGAATACCCACAAAAATCCCAAATTTGGAAGAGTGAGACAAGTCCCAATCTGGGAACTTGGTTTGGAATTCCCTGGTTGGGACTTGTCTCACTTTGCCAAATTTGGGATTTTTATGGGTATTCTTTAAATACCCAAAAATAAATTACATGTATGTGAGAAAATGACAGCTGCATAACAAACAAATACTCCCGAGTATTTTAACTCACAGCAGTTTTTTTTAACAGTTTTCCGAAAAGAAAAAAACATTAGCAATTCATTTTAGTCCGCTCACTCCCACGCTAGCGCTTTCGTCCACTCATGCCTTCTTTTCTGTCAGCAGCGTGTTTGAACATTCTCTCGCTGTTTTCCGCTCAAAATTGGTTAATTTCATATTTCAATCAATTGGTCAGCCAGTTCATACCTGAATCCATCTAATCTGTGTGACATGGCTCCTTAGTTCTTAGGTCCGTCCACTCTCATTTTCCAGTAACAATGCTTGTAAAATACGAAATTAATTTACTCTTTCAACTTTCGTACCTGTAGGACTAAACGTCACTATCAATTCTTAACAATAATTTTATTTAATATATTTATAGCCTTGCAAATCAAATGCCAGTTGAATTTTGTGCGAGGAAATATCGCCAAGAATCCTGACACTCAGAAATTCATCCCAGCTTTCTTTACCTACAATGGCAGCAAGAAAGACATTCCTGATTTCTTGTCATACCGTTGGAGTCACAAGCTACCCAGGGAAGTGGATCGTGTTATCTTTCACGTGCTCAATGTAGAAAAGATTCAGCCGTACCGCACCCAGCCTATTGTAGTGATGGGAGGGAACGGACATCCGTTTGACGAGAAGAAAAAGGAGTTAGAGAGGGCAGTACAGGAAGCGGACACGTATCACAAGTGCAGTCCACAGGTGTAATGATGGAAAGAAACTTGGAGCAAAAAAGCACTGAAACATTCGAGTTACTTCGTCATATATCCTTATCTTTTAGTCTGCGACTACAACCGCTTTTCATTGCTCCCCGTTGCTGAATCGTTTCGCGTCGTCTCTCCTTGCGAACGTCCTCAGAGACAAGTAGCGATTAGAGTCGGCTTTATTCGCAGGCTATCTTTTTTATCGGTCACCGATTTTAAAATTCCTTCTCTGATGCAGAACAACTCAGTTGTAGAAGATCACTTCCTTGTTAAGTGTTATAAAATGTTTTTCTCTACGTTTCCCACCTTCCGCCCTAGTGAGCACACACAGTGAGAGGAGGTCGAGGGTGGACCATTTCATACAAATCACTGTATTTTGTAACCCTAATCCACGAGTTTATCCCTGAGGGGGTTAAGAGTCTTAATGAGTTCTAAGCCGGGCCTTTCGGTGGCCGGCTCCCCGATTTCCCAAATTTGAGGCTCCCCAGACTCTTTATTCAATCTACGTGTGGACGTTATAGCGGAGCTCTCGCGTGCGAAGCGCGCGCAGCGGAGCACCATGGGTAAGAAAATTTGGTAATCACGTGACCTTACACCGATCGACCGTCCGTCCGCACCACAGGCATACCAATGTAAAATAGCTCATTGAACAGGTATGGCAACCCAAATTCAACTCGAGGTTATTTTGAAGGGAAGTCGCATAACTACCCGCGTCTTGTGAAGCAGAGACAACTAAGGAGTCACTGAAGACGAAAACGGAAAGCGAAAATTGTCTCTGTATCCGTGTTTTCTAAAGTATTAAGCTTAGATTAATTGTCAAGTCCACAAATTTGGAATATAGAGCAAGAAAAAGACCGAGAAAAAGAGAAAGTAGGCGGCAGGGCAGCGAAGCTCAACGAGAAAAAGGGCGACAGAGATCTAAAGCGAGAGATAAAAAACAAAGGAGACATTTTTTTCTTGGAAGAACAACATGAAAATTCTGTAACGACGGTAACAAAATGAGAAATGCTAGCGGCCACCAATGGAAGGTGAAAATGAGCGGCAGTGAAAAAAAAAGTGAACAGGAAAACGTGCGACATTTCCTCCATAAAACGTGTAACTAAGAAGTTTCTGGAAGTTTCACGTCGTAGTCGTGAAAAACAACGGCAAAGAAATGTACAAAAAAAGTGTGCTGCGCGTGCAAAGTTGCTTTTTTGCTAATTAGACCTATTGTTGTTTTTCACCGTTCTACGGCGTTGCCTTCACCGCTTAGCATTACAATATTTTATATTTTGTTTGAGCAAACTATAAATATTATCGAGAGCTTCGCTTTTAGCCCTGGCTAAATCTATATTACATGTACATTCGAATCTCATTAGTTTTTAACGCCACTAAGTTTAATATTTAGTGGACAAAACACTTTCTACCATTAGGGAGCGGGGGGAGGAGGCGTGTAAAAATTATCTTTTTAAAAGTATATTCATATTGTCTTTTTAAAAGTATATTCAGTATAATCAGGGATTCTTTGAAACAGTTAAAGAGCTACAAATTAGCTCGATCTCATCATCTCATCGGACATAAGTGTTAACTGGGCGATGTACGATAGAACTAATGTTAATCTGCTTTAACGCATTCTGGCATTTAGTTGGTGGAATCAATTACCGTCCATCTTGATTAAGCGTAGGCGTTTTTGATCACTGGAAGATTTTTGTGATGTTTTTAAGCCTGATCCCGATAACAACTGCTGAATACAAAGTTCAAGATTCAACCAGGAGAGACTTATTTCGCGAAGTACAAATGTTGTGAAGACAGCGATGAATTTTGTTTCGCACAACGACGTGAAAGCACTTTGGATCAGTGTGTTTAGAGGGTGCAACCGAGAGGGAATAAATTTTTAATTGTACACGGGTTGAGACATTCTAGGAAGCATCTCATTGTCCTAATAGGAAAATGATTGCCCGACTGCCTTGCTTCTTTTTTTTTTTTTCACTTACTTATACATCTGCTACCCATACTTGTGAGCGCTGAGTGAAAAAAGGCATAAAGAATAGTCGAGTTCTACTGAATTCTAAATTTTACTCTTAAATTTTACTGTATGTTTATGTCGAAACGTATGTAATAAATCCTTATACAAATCAGGAGCACTAACGATGATTCTTTATTCAGATAAACTGAAATTAAAAAAATTAAAAAAAACTCCACAACTTCTTGACCTAAAAGATTTATTCTGAACAGTCGTGTGACATCAGAGGAGGAATTATATAACATCGCGCGCTCCAGTTTAAATACACATCATATGATCAACAGAAACAAACTGGAGTTTATCACTGCTTAAAGAACAATCTTGACCGAGTCAACAGTGAAATACTTGTTGATGTAGCTTCAGAAAAGCTGCAATTCATTCTTCTAAACTTAGACCTGTAAATCACTATCCGTGAGAATTGTAACATCCTGCAACTGAGCCCAGCGTGACAAAAGATTACACACGTTGCAGAAATCATCAAATTCAAGGCCAAAAGAAAGTCTCACCTATTCATAGAGGGCATTTTGGAGAACAATAGGGAACCAAGAACCCCTACTAAAGGAATGTTTAGCCGCAATAAAAAAAAGTAGCGCGCTTTACGTTTAAAAGGAGGTCAAAGAAAATGCTCAGTCGCATCAGAGGTCAAATCCTGCCGGCCAGGAACAAAAGCCACAGAAAATCAATAAAAATGTATGCGTGAAACAGAGCAACTTCATGACTTCTTAATGTATAAAGACAAGCGGCAAAAATCAAATCAAAATCATGAACCTTCGAGAGCATATTCTACCCCCTAGAGAAAATGATTGGAACAAGCAGCATTTCAGTATAAGGTAGGAGTCGTGCGTGCCTTCCAAACGGCTCGTTCTCCACTAAATGTTTAGGTTAGATTTTCAATTTTCGTGCTTGGCGAAGTCTTCTCTCTTGTCGTTTCCTCTTATCTTTCCCCCAGATATTCCGCAAAGCACCCCGAGGAGTCGGATATGCTCTTCCATGACTTTGGATAGAAAAAAAATAACATAAAGTCGGTTACACACATGAAATATGCGTTTTTCACATACTTCACTAATGGCGGTTAAGGTGCAGTACTAAAGCATGGGATTCAAAAAGAGTTCACAGAATTTCGGGGTTGTTTACAAGCGTGGAATTTGGAGTGACGAAACTTTTTAAAGTTTCAAGCAACGTCGAAGAAAAATACACAAATGCTAGAAAATAACCATTTATGTTTACTTACTTAAGCGTCGGACCATAAAATCGCATCTACTTCGTCGCATTGCCACCTGACAACTCAAAGATAAGAAGCTGCATTACAAATGATTTTAAATCTGGATTTCCAAAATGGCTTCCAATGTTTCCTCTCACCGTTGGCCCGCTGAAAGTCCCGGATATGTGCCAAAGGAGACTGGAAACAGTACTTTATTCTCAGCGTTCTCTCTCTCAAGCTGTATTAAGATT